AGAGAGAGAGAGAGAGAGAGAGTGAGGGAGCAGACCCCCCCCCTTCCCACTCGTCATTAATCCATGCTGCCCATCAGCTCTGTCACTTAGGAGCTGTATAAGCCATTAGGCCAGTGCTACTCACCCTGTTAGGACCACCACAAAGTCCATTACATTCCAGCCATTACGTAGGTAGGAGCCTTTGTGAAAGGCAAAGCCCAGGGCGATGATCTTGATACCAGCCTCAAAACAAAATATTCCAATAAAGTAGGGCTCAGTGTCGTCCTGTGAGAAGAGAAGAACACCGTGAGGAGGATTCATCAAAATACACAATCCCATCTGGCTGTGTCAATAAAATCAAGTGTTGGCCCTTCAATATCATCCATCTCTAATAAAATTATGTTATTCCTTTAACTGTTTCAGTGTATCAAGCTGTAAAGGGGATGGCCCCTGTTAATTTTGGGAGTGTTTAACTCACTCCATTGGACTTATCAATTGGGCGATTCCAATATTATCGGATGTCAAATATTAAATTACTTTTACAACTCCATACTTTCTCCAGAGTTTGCCTTTCACGCATGAACAACACAGCGGGAGATTCTGCGCTCAGACGTGGTCACAACGACACAGAAATCTCTGGAGCGTTCAGGTGAGAGGCGGAGATCATATGTTGTTTCTTTATAGCACATCAACACCGGCGCTGGCCCTTATCCCCAAAAGCTCTTCTTACATCTTTATATTCCTTTTATTTTTTGTGTCTGTAAATGTTCTTTAACATTCTCCAGGGTTACGCCAGGCTCAGTGTTTTGGTTCCGTTTGCTTTTGGCTTTGAACAATGTTTTTGCGGTGTAAAGAGTAAACAGAAAGACACGACAGACCTAACACAAATAATCTGTTGCCTGTTGATTCAGGTGATAGAAAATTCACTAGCTAGTATGTTGGTATTCAATAAATCGTCTCAGTCGTTCTAGAAGCTAAAAGGCATTCAATGGTTCCAATCAGAAACATTGAGCTTTTTCCATTGTCAAATTGATTTATAGAGAAAATAAATGTCTGACTAATCAATAATGACAATAACTGTTAGAACCCCAGCCCCCTGACAAGATTTAAGACTCAATAAATTGTCTCTCAAATGTTTACTGGGGCGGGAAAATAGCTGGTTGAGACTGTAAAACTATATAAGAGAGAGAGGACTGTGTTATTTGCTGATAACAAATCTGATCACTTTATAGCTTCATGAACTCTATACTGTATCTGTGAGACAGAGGTGGGGCACATCACATAGAGTGGATCAATGAGAATGGGCAGCTGGGGAGGGGGCACGGGAGTGACATCTGATTCTTGAAAGAGCCCTGCCCCTGGAAGACTAACTGCACTGCCTTCTTTAATGGGAAGACTTAACGAGAGAGGCGGGGGCGGGGGAGGGCCCAGCGGGGGTAGCCAGACGTAACGATGCACAGTTGGGACCAACGGAACCTCTGCAGGGTTCTGCTTAACCTACAGCGCTGACAAGGGACTCTGTCACCTGCATTGCATTCAAAACGTTTGTTGAGGTATTCATGAAAATACTGTCGCTACTGCGGCACATTTTCAACTTCCATAGAAACATTTTGTATTTTCTTTGGAGGTGAAAATGTTCAAATCCACGAACAAGTGGATTGGAAGAGGAGAGACTGGATTAAGCGGAGCAGAAGTCTGTGACTTTGCTGCAGCTGAAAAACAACCAGACCACCACATTTCCTTGAGCTGCCAGTTTGAGGATGAATTCACTAACAAAGAGACACCAAAGACATTCAGTTTACAAAGCATCACACTGACTGCATGCTGTATCTTCTCCCCCTGGATGACACATGAGGAGCTGTACAGCAGGAGATAAAAAGTGGTCCTGTGGCTACTTACCAAGCGCTCTGACATCGGCGTTTTGTCCGAGGCCGGTAGGTGTTGCTCCAAAGCCAGTACAATGCAGTTTGCTATGATGGTGGCCAGGATCATGTACTCAAATGGAGTAAGAGTGTTAAGGAACTTTTGTGGATTCACATTCACAGTTTGGTACACAGGCAAACACAGAAACACGACCTTGAGTTAAATACATAAAAAAAACACAAGAAAATAAAAAGCAATGCAAAATCCTCAGAACTATCCTCGCCTGAATTGTGGCGTGATGCTTGTTGGTGTATCTTTCTTAAAAAAGACCTAACGGGCCGTCCTTACATTTTTAAAGAGGCAACAGTTAAATTTTACAGCAGGTACTCTATTTTTGGCTTGCTCATGCAACACTGGTAAATGTCAGCTTCTTATAATCATAAGAAAATGACTTCTTTCTGTCATGCCAGAAGAAATCCTTCGAGCCAGTGTGCATATTAAGAGTGCTTGCTTTTTAGATGTGCTTTTTGCACACATTACACAAAGATGTGGCGGCTGTGGCTCAGGGGGTAGAACGGGTTCTCGGGTTGTAATGTGGCTGTAGCAATCCAAAGCTTGACTAGTGGCTAATACAATTGCCAGTTATGTATCGGGTTGGGTACTGAAATCCAATCAGGTATTGATTCCAACATGGCCACTCACTACCGGTCCGAATTACAATGCAGATTTCAGCGTCTGGGCTGTGTACTGAAAGAGTTGCTCTGCTTACAGGCAACGTAAAAACCTCACAGCATGTCTCATTAACATAACATTTAACCCATGGTACTGGCAGCACATAACCTGCCTACAGTTGGCGACCTGAGTCGGAAAGGCAACAAAATGCCTCAAGCTAAAGTGGCTGTATTTCACGAGAAAGGATTCAGACCATGTGTAGCAAATGTTCGAAAACAATTCCGTGTAAAGGGAGGAACACGACTAACTGACTGAAGCACATGGTGATGTACCGGATACATTTACAAGCAGAGGGATGCTCCGTGTCTCACTGGTTGTGTTTGACTGGTTGTGTGACCCCATGTCAATCACTTCAGCCGACAGTGTGGGCAGCCCTTTTTTTCAAGTATTGATTTAGCACTGGTAGTGGAAAGAAAACACACCCAACACAATAAAACATGCAGATTTTTTGTCACACTGACTGCTCAAACAGTACAGCATTAAAATCGGAACATAAAAGTCAGTTTGAGGTTTCCTCCAAAGCCACGGATGACGTTATAAAGCTGCGTTCAGTCTCACTTTTGCTTCTCATGACACAGAACAGAGCTCAATGTGCCCCTTTAACCCCAGTGTCCACAAACTAGATGTGCTTACTATATATTTTGCAGACACGTTCACACTGCTCCTTTTTCCTGTTGAATTACAACTATCACCTTTGTGCCACAGTCCAAAACCTGTTGGGATCCTCATCAATATGCACATCTTTGCAGTGCTGAGTAGGCTGGGATGAGAGACTAGTTTCTAGTTAAATCAAGAAATTATACAGAGATTTGTACAGATTATTGGGCATCTCTCTTCCCTGCAGTGCACTGCTGCTGGGTCATTAGCACCACCACTCCAACATCCTCTCTGGACCGCTCCAGCTCTGCCAGGAGGAGGGCCACCCAATGGACTCCAGCTGCTCGGGGCCACAATAGATCATCCTGCAGCGCTGCCACGATTGCTCTGCTTTAGGACGAAGGGCTCAGTAATGCAGCGCGACATCAAAGCCTGATAAATGTTTGCTCAGCACCAGGGGTAATCACCCAGAGACCAAAGCAACGAAGGCTATCACACAACATAATGTGAATTAATTGCAACACCTATAACACTCATTACCATATGAGGTGTTTACCATTGACTTTTCTTTGAGAAATATCCAAATCTACACCAGTGAGAAGTTACTCTGTTGCTGAGTCAATGCACAAAACTCAACAGGTGGCGTCCGCACTCAAACAATCATTCGCTGCAAACTAAGTCAATTAAAAAGGCACCTGCAGCCAATTCCAAATGCATCCTGCTGCATTGTATTGCTATGGCTTGTTTGTTTAACGTCACACCCATACAGACTGCCACCCCCTCCATGCTGAGGCCAGGCTGCTGCTTGCTGGAAGTTCTGCACCATCTGCAGACTCGCACGAGCTCGACAGTGAAATGTCAGTGAGACAACGGCCGTCCACGAAGTACAGTTCCCGAATCTATACATCAACTTTCGACTGACTCTAGAGAGCTCTACTGAATTCATGAATACAGCAGTGGGCATGATCTGACCAGGTTCCATCAGCACATGGGAACAAACAACAGAAAGCTTCTCTGTCTAAGACTCAAATTCCTTATCAAGTGAGTCAAGAGTATATACAGTATATCATATAAATCAAGAGCATATGAAACACATGTAATAGGATACATGGCATAAAAGTAACTCAATAACTTTAGCGAAACACTAGCAACATGTTATGTTATGCTGCTTTTCGGTGGTTACTGATCTTTTAAAGGTCGGCTGTGTAAGGTTCCATTGAACACACCAAAGTAAAGAGTGTAAGAACTCTCTCTGAACTAACACCTGATGGGAGGATCCAGTGTGCAGCACCAGGTCCTGGCTCACACTGCAGCCCTTCCCTCTGCTGAACGCTGTAGAGTAAAACTGTAGAGAACCAACTGTGGAAGTTTAAACATGCACTAATATAGAGGACTCTTTGCATGTGGTACACAAGTGGTACATGCATCCTCTGAGAAATGTTTAGGTAGTGTATCATATTATCATATTGAACCTTAAATGGACATGTTTCTCTGCGGAGTTCAGCACGGTGGTGTCACGTTACACGGGACAGGACTGGACATATCTACAGGTCAGACTGGAAGGATATGGCCATTCAGTGATCTTTTTGGCATATTTCCGTATGATGTTGTCCTCGCTGAAGATGAACAGAGAGCGGTTGAGGGTGAGGCAGTTCTGTTTGACTGGGATGGGGTTGTAAATGGCCATGGTCCTGGCTCTCTGGGCCATCGACTGCTTGTACGGCTGCCGGCTGGCCCCTCTGGCCGGGCCCGCGGGACAGCTGCCTCCATAGCGGCTGGACAGTACGTCTTCGAAGCGAGCCATTGCGGGATAGCGCGGGTGTTGCTGGAGGAACCAAAACTGACAGCAGAAAAGAAATGGATAAGAAGCATCACAGCACACACGGTCGTCCTTTGGGTGCTCAGGTCCTTTGGGTGCTGTGGGTCCTTTGGTTGCTGTGGATCCTTTAGGTGCAGTGGGTCCTTTACAATCGCGGATCGTGGCCGAACACAAGAGTCACACATCCAAACGCACCGCAGCAGAGGGGGGCTCGGTTGTCCTCAGCGTCCGGCTGTTCTCTCCTCCACCCCGCTGCCTCCAGTGCTCTCACTGCCCCTCTCATCAAACTTTACATGACCAGCTTCCACCATGCATCACCGGTCATGGGTGTTCCTTCCTCGGCTGACTGCGCGCACACACACTCACACAGGCGTCCGCGCTACAAGTCCATGTCACAGGATGCGCCTTCCACCAAGCCCCGAGTGAGAGTCTGCCACTTTAACGCGCCACAGAAAAACACTGCGAACCGTCACAGTGAGGAGTCAAGCGAGATGGTCCTCCAGAAAACATCCGCGGGCGACATCGTCTCCGTCCCCGGTGAAGAGCCTCCTCGACCCGCCGCGCGTTTACAGGTGAGAACGCGTCAAGCCGCCGGTTCCCCTTCAGCCCAGAGCCGGGGAGAAATCTGAGCCGAGCGCTGAGCTTCCGTGAACTCTCCGCTGACGTGCGTGAGGAGAAGACGCCACTTTCATCATGCACAGCCACCCCCCCCCCACCCCACCACCACCCCTCCACGTGACCGCGAAGACGCCAGCCAGTGGCTCCACCTGGCCCGGCCCTGTCTCCATAGCAACAGGGAGGATGGAGGAGAGCTGGAGCTCCGACCTGCTCCTCAGCATCAGGAAGTTTCTGCATGTTTTCACTTCTACACCTCATGTGACTGGAGATATCTATGGAGGTGAAATAGAGTTTCACCACTTCCTGTTTTTACTTTTTATTTCTCTGTGCTCTATTAAGCTCTTGATGTGTGTGTGTGTGTGTGCTGAGGGGCATAGCATTGTGATGCAACATTTTATTGTTGACATATATAAATATATCTGTTATTATTATATTCAATATAATAACCAATCTGCCAGAGCTTAGAATGACAGTCACACAAACAGTAAATGGTCTGTATTTATAAAGCACTTTTCTAGTCTTGATGACCACTCAAAGCTCTTTACAGTGCAGTTCTACATCCACCCAATCACACACATTCATACAGTGCACAAATGTTTGTCTATGAGACCCAACAGAATCTCTACATAGACAATTCTGCAGATACACCAGAGAGATGTGATTTCAGTGTGTGGTTTCCCACCATAAAAAAAACTTTACCTGTTTTGAATTGGTAGATCAATCACATCTCTTGTCGAATTATTTAGTTGTTTTATTAAGCCCACCAACCATCAATAAACCTTTATTACTACTAATCAGCCACATTTAAACATGTAGCAGAATTTACTTTTGTGGCTTATCGGTGTATATCTTCGAAGACTGGAATCAAACCGCCAAACTTCTGGTAAGTGGATGACCCGTTCTATCTCCTGAGCCACAACAGGAAACATTTATAAAACTGAGAATTATTTTCCTGTTAACCACATAAATACTAGAATTACAGCTGCTTACATTCTGACCTCAGTATTTTTTGAGAAGATGGAAATTAGATGATTGTGGAAAAAGTGAATCAGTGAATTCATCTGAAAATAAGACAAAAAATCCTTATTTGGAAAGAATAAGAGAGGTGATTTGGAAAAAAGCTTTCATATTGTGAAATGTAAAGAGCTGGGTTTTCTGAAATAACACACTGAACCTGCAAGGGTCTCCATGAAAGATGATCATGTGGTAACAGTTATTAAACAGATGATTAATTGCTTTTCTATTACCTGTACTCCATGAATGGATGGTGAATCTTTGTAATACATGAGGAAATAAGGTCTGTATGTTCCAAGGATCAGTGACAAGAGGAACAAAGACTGTAATTTCACATTTGACTGTTCATCTCTATTATCTCAGCAGCTCCAGTGAAGACGGCTCACCTGAGAGCAAAGTAAGAAGACATGCCTTTGCAACTTTTTGCCAAACAAGTTCATAAAAAAACACATGACGAAATCTGCTTTTAAAAGGTGTTTAATTACTAAGAAGACAAGTAGTAAAAGGTTCATAGGAGAGATCAGACTACCAAAAACATTATCTTACTGCAGTCATTCACAAATACAACTGGTTGCATTATTAAAGAAAAATCATTGACTGTTAAAATAATCTGTTTGACTCATTAAAACTAGCTGGACCTTCTCTCATATACAGTACTTCTAGCTGGCGGCAGGCTGCAGTCTTCATATAAATAGGTTGCATCCTGGTTCTTACCCAACTTGTGTGTTGTATCTGGCTCAGAGGGCATTGTTTCGGACATTAGACAGGGCAGAATGTGTTCAGGCAGAAAGAGAGATCAGTGGTCTTCAGTGAGTTTGTGTCTGTAGTGACACTTCACAGAACCACACTGGCAGCTGAAGTACTTGCTCTTTACCCTCCAGTAGTGATCACCATAGTCAAACCTGTAGAGAAGGAGACCCCAGTCAATCAGATTATCATGATTTTGACATTGACTGAAGAGGAAGACAGAAGAGAGAGCTGGGGGGGGGGGGGGGGGGGGGGGGGGGGGGGGGGGGGGGGGTTCTGACACTCACCCAATCTGGTCTCCAGCTTTGATGGGCCTACTCGAGAAGAAGGCTATCCTGGGAAAGCGTAGATCCTGGTGCATGGTGAACACCCTCACAGCCAGCAGGTTGGGCTCACACAGATGGTTGATGAAGCGGCCGATGTTGCCAAAAAGTCTTGAATCAATACAGTGTACATCCCCCACCTGCACATGATGAGAACCACAAAGGGTTTTAAATTGAAGCAGGAAGTGGGTCTGAAAACAGTTTGGTTCATTTCTTATTGTCTACCTAAACATAAGTTTGACGACTCAGTCGTTTGTTTCCAGCCTGTTTGTCCGACTGCTCACGTTGCTTCTTGTCAGGCTCCACAGTGCATTTAGTGAGTATATTAGAATTACTCAGGGAAATGATGAACAAATCTCTGGATCAAACCTGACCTGATTTTTTAAAATGTGTACCGGCTGCAGAGGTCCTCAAACTGGGTTTCCCACTCTGTGCGCCAGAGACTAAGGAGGTGCCCACAATAGGAAAAATATGAGGGATTATGTTTCAATAAAATTCCTCTGGGCTCCTCTTGTCCCAACTGTCCCAAGGATTGTAGATAATGAAGTGTTTCCAGCCTCCAAAGAGGGGAGGGGCATGCCAGAGGCAGAACAACGAGCCAGAATGGACAAATACACGGGCTGAGGTATAACATGTTTCTTAAAGATACTTCAGAGGAACAAATGGCTACAGAGAACTCAAACCTCAGTAATTATGTCAAGAACTAGTCCAACTCTCATCAGAACATCAACCACAGTCTGATGTACATGAAGACAACACTGGTCGGTGTGTTGATGAGCAGCCCTGGAGCTCCACCTCTTGACCAAACATAAGAGCACACACACGCTCCAGCTGTTCTCATGAAATGTCTACCACCTACAGTAGCTTCAGGTCATATTCAGAGCACGTCAGAGTTTTCATACTACAATGTGTTGTAGATTTAATTCTAAATGGAAAACATTTCCATTTTCCCTCATCAATGTACACTCTATAAATCACAATGACTGTTTTTAAAAATCGAATAAAATTGTGTTAATTCAGTACTTAATACAAGCTCCTTTTGCCTTTATTTTGTTACAGCTTCCTGTCTTCTTTCCACGTGTAGCTTTGAGCAGTTGACGTCAGTCTTCCTGACAGGTTCTCTCTAACTTTGTTAGACTGGATGAAAACAGTGTGAGCTGCATCTTCAGGTCTCTGCACAGATGTTCTATGTGGCTGAAGTCTTTGTCTGGGACACTCTATGCAGGCAGAGACTTGTCCTGAAGACACTCCACTGTTGTCTGGCTGTTTGATTCAGGTCATTCTCTTACTGAAAGCTGAACCTTCTCCTCGGTCTCAGGTTATTTTCACTATGGAGCAGGTTTTTCTTAATGGACCTCTCTGTAATCGGCTCAATTCATCCTTCACTCTGTACTTACCAGTCTCCCTGTCCCTGCTGCTGAGAGGAGCCCTCATTGCATGATGCTGCCTCCACCATGCTTCACCATAGTGATGGTGTTAATCAGGTGCTGAGCAGTGTGTGGAGCTCTTCCCACAGTTCAATTATTTAGCCGTCCTTGCAGCAGCTTTAAACTCTGCAGAGGACTCCTGAATCTCTGTCACAGAAACCGTTGGGTTCTCGTTCAACTCCCTGACCGAGGCCCATCTTTCCTCCTTTACCTGTTAAGCTGGACGACCTTGTGTTTGTGGACATTCTTTCCAACGATTTTTCTATTTCAATTGTGAACTATTTCCTGTCAGTTCAATTTGCCAACTCAGGTCAAGTTCAGAGATCTCAAGGAAAGTTTGAGCTGAAGAGGACTCGCCTTCAGTTCGGAGCCAAAGAAAAGGATGTGAATACTTAAATAAGAGATTTCAGCCTGCAATGTTTAATACATTTCATCATCGTCATTATGTGATACTGAATGTAGATTGATGGAGGGAAGTGGCAATTTTATCTATTTATAGTTGAAACTAGAAGTGAACACTCTATTAATATTAGAAAGTGCTGATGTTGTATATCATGCTGCATCTAAGACTAATATTCCCCCTCAGTATGGTTAATATACTGATTTGTTGTCCTTTCATTTTCCCTCTCCCTTTCAGTTTATTTTCAAATGGATAAGTTTCAATTGTTCAGACTACCTAAATTACTTTATGGCACCTTTCACCTAAAATTGTGAATTGAGACTATATAACTTTTTCTGTCACTAAAGTCTCTAAGTCAACAGCAAAGACTAAACAGTCTTTATGTATAAATCTCCATGATTGAAAGAAACTACCTTTAAATGTTTGATCCATATAATCTCTCACTTGTTCAAATCT